CACTGAAAAAAATCCTGCTCATGATTCCAATTAAATATTCAACATGCATCCTTGTTGACAGTGTTTGTTTCAAATGATTTTACCACCAGATGGCCCTTCAGAATACACTGATGAAGGCCACCTGACTAAAGAATGCAATCAGTGTCTAAGGAAGTTTAAAAGTGACTATATATTAGCAGTAGGACTAAACCAGAGGCAGAATTACCAAGATTTAAACCTTGGTTGGTTTAAACCAGGTGAATTTATAATTTCATTATTTATCTTGTTTGACTTCATAGAACATCATCTGGGAATTTTCAACATACTAAAAAAAAAAAAAAAAAAAAAAAAAAAAAAAAACAAACCAAAAAAAACTAACTGGAAGTTGGCAGTTTGGGAGTGACAAAGTTTTTTTTTTCCTTTTTCTCTAATTTTTTAGAAGAGATGGAGCTCTGGGCTTTTTATGTAATTGTGTTATGCAGAAACCACAGAGTTGCAGATTGTCACAAAACAGAATATAGTATTAATAGTGTTAAGTACAAGTCTTTTATTCAGTGTTGCTGCTTCACACAAACAGGCTGAGAAAACCCAGCTGGCCAGGATAATTAGAGCCACAGATTATCACGTAATGATCACAATATGAAAACATTCCAAAAGAATGAAAAAGCTATCATTCTAGATTAGTCTGAAGTAATTTTAGAAGAAGCAGAGAACTCTATGTAAAAAATTTGCATCAAGAAAGGTGGAGAAACTCTTTATTGAGTTGTCACATGAGCTTGTGCAGTTTAGTGAGTGCAGTTATTAGTAACTATAGCACAGTTGAAATCAAGACTTTTTCCTGGTGTTGCGAGTAAGGGAGAACACAGAGCTGTACGTCACTGCGATATATATATATATATGTGTGTGTGTGTGTGCATATAAATGTATTTTCCCCCATGACTAGTTATCTTCCCCCTCTCACCAACTTCAAAATACAAAAGGATGTGCAGAAGCTGTCTCTGTTTCTTACATTAAGATGCAAGCTATGAGAGAGAAACAGCCTCTCCATTTTCTCACTCACTGTACCACCACAAGTATGTAAGCAGTAGATAGAGACAGCCCCAAGTTAAGCAGTTCAAGATGTGACAGCATCAACATAACAGTGGAATCAGGGAAGACTTGGAGTTTAATACAAGAACTTTGTCTCCTCTCCATGGTTTCATGAGGAGAGCAAAGGCCTGGCATCACCACTCTGTCTCCTATATCATACGAGTTAAATAAATTACCCAAAAGCTACTCAGGAGCTCCTATCCTGCCCTTACCCCCAGCCCTCAATTCCCCTATTTCTTCACATTTTTATTACCCAGAGTTCTCTTGAGTGCAATTTGTATCCTTTTTCTTCAGAAATCCCTTTTGATTTGAAAAAAAAAGGAAGAACCTCCCAACAGAAGCACAACATCCCACTGAAACAATCTCACTTACTCCTGCACTAACACAGAGTAGCTTACTACCTACAAATGCAGCTTACCACCTACAAATGCAGCTTACCATCATTTGGGTGGTGCACACTCAAACACACCAGCTGCCTTCATGGCTTCAAAGTCCTTCATGGCATCATAGTTTTTATAGAACTCTGCATAAGCTCGTTTCCTGGGTTCAGCGATTCCAAACTGGAAAGTAGCACATGGAAAATTAAAGCTTGCAAAGCTTTATTAACAGAATTTTTTTTTTTGTTAGTGCTATGATTTCTATCAGTGGATATTAGTCTAAAAGGCCTTTAGCTGAAATTATTAAATATTACTTTTTTCCTGTTAAAATCCAGAGTTCAGGCTACCTGACCATTGGTCAGGAAAACAAATGTCTGAAGTAAAATCTTAAAAAGAAGGTACGTTACAAAGCAGCACATCGCATATTTAAGATCCAAACCTGCTCCATTTATACTGATACTCACGTGTTCAACACCATCCCTGCTAACAGTTTTATACATAAACCATGTCATTATTGCAAATTTTATGCCTGTGGGCAGCTGCAAAACTGTAACTCCAGATAAAATGGCATCCTAAACTGAAATTTGACTACATTTGACTTACATCGCAAGTCAATTTCAGAAGCCTGGTAAAATTTTACAAGACTGACTCCTTGGATATTAATTCACCTGAAGCACAGGAGTATGCTCAAAAATCCCCCAAAAACGTGAAGAGAAGTCCAAGGTGGGTTTGTACAACAGTATCTAACGAGTAACAAAGTAAATCCCTACTGAGATCCGAGTTACTTGTTCTAAGTGTGGTCTCCCACCTTACCAGGGTATTAAAGTGGGGGTGCCAAATAAGGGATACAGCCAGAGAATATTAAAAAATTTATATTGTTAACTCTGACCACAAACAAGCTTGTCTACCTCTTAACAGATTTACTGAGTACATGCTGAGCTTTAACTGTGCGAGTTTATTGTTTCTGATAAACATTTGTTGCTCTGAGAAGTTTAAAGTTTTGTGAATTACCTGAAATTACCTTCATTTCTAGTCACTTTGTACAGCTTTCTGCTGCAAATAGTATATGTGTGAGTTCAATGGGCAAATCAAGATCCTGTTCTTCCCCAGGAATTCACACTGTGTTGTTTGCTTCGTGTATGAGATCCCAGAATTATTTAGTTAAAAGCACTCAAGAACAACTACTGCTCTTATTTTTATCAGAAGACCAACCTCTGTGTTTTTCTGGAAATGTAATGGTCCATTTCCACATGATACTTCAAAAGAAAAGACAGAAGGACCACACCACCCCTTCCCACACTGATCTCTTTAGTGTGAAGGATGGGTTTTCCAAATTGCTTAAGAGCTAGTTTTCTGAAATCAGCCAAGAGATAAAATAAGGCTTTGACAACTCTGAGTCTAGGATAATGTGACAGCGAGACACACAAACTATCCAGAGTTCATGTGCATCAACTGTGTGAATGACCAAGAGTAGTATGGGATTGAGAGACTCCAGGCTAAGTTGTCACAAATTGCGTGATCTTGACCACACAGCTTAAAGCAACAGGTTATTCATATTATTTCTTCAAATGAAGATTAGCAGGATTTATTTATTTTTGGAAACATGCTTACAAAAATACATTACTAAACCTTTCTGATGAACAGCTCAACTGAATCTCAACAGAAAAATATTATGAATTCTTAAAACACTCCAATGAGCACAGTTTGTAACTGAATGACTACAGAGCCCACCTTGTATAAAGCTGCACATCCTATTGACACAAAAAACGCCCCAAAAAGGTGAAACTTCATCCTTCTGGCCAATAGGCGCCGCATCTGTGGCTTGGGCAACAGTGCAGACGACATGGTGACTTTATTTCCTAAAAGATGAAAAGTAAAAGAAAAAAGGAGATAAAGAGAGTTGCAGGAGAAGCAGCTCTACTGAAACAATTTTCTAGATCTAGATCGTGCTTTTTGTATGGTGTAATCATCATCTTCACAAGATAAGCAACAGTGCTCCCGTGTATTTGACCTTCCAATGACAATATTTAAGGGACAACATTCAAGGGCAACCTATTTATGACATGAATCTAAATCAGTTTTTACACTCCTTGCATCCACTATTTGTGGAATCAAGACTGGCCTTCGCTGCTCACACTAAATCCCCCCTCCCTGCAAGGTCTTCCCTTCCAGGCCTGCTGTTCCGGAATTCAGGTCAGAAGACACTCTAAGCGGTCCTGGAGCCGGGCTGGGCCCAGCCCCGCGCCGCTCCCCGCTCCGGGGGCACCCCGGCCCCGCTCTGCCGCCGCCGCAGGGCCCAGCCCCGCCGCCCTCAGGGACGCGCAGAGGTCACGGCGCTGCCGCGGGGCCGCGACCAAGGGGGGAGCGGCGGCTGGCACTCTCGGGATGAGGGGGCCGAGGGAAGGCAGAGGGAGCCCGGGGGGGAGGGAGGGAGCCCGGGGGCCCGGCGGGCGGGCGGGCGGCGCGGCCTCACCTCCGCTCCCACCGAGGTCCTGACGCCGCCGCCCGCGCTCCCGCTGCGCCCGCGCCACTCCGCATGCGCGGGGCGCCGGCCTACGGCGGGCGGCGCGGGCCAAACACGGCCGTGCGGAGCGCCCGGACCCGCGCAGGGACAAATCAGGGTCGCGGAATCATATGGGTTGGGAAAGACCTCTGGGATCGTGGAGTCCAACCTGTGACCGAACATCACCGTGTCAACCACATAATGAGTGCCACATCCAGTCTTTCCTTAAACACCGCCAGGGACGGTGGCTCCACTACCTCCCTGGACAGTCCACTCCAATGTCTAATCACCCTTTTGTAAAGAAATTCCTCCTAATGTGCAACCTAAACCGCCCCTGGTGCAGCTTAAGATTGTACCCCCTTGTCCTGTCACTTGTTGCCTGGGAGAAGAGCTCGACCTCCACCCGGAAACAACCTCCTTTCAGGGAGTTGTAGAGAGCGATAAGGTCTGCTCTGAGCCTCCTCCTCTCCAGGCTGAGCAACCCCAGCTCCCTCAGCCACTTCTCATCAAACTTGTGCTCCAGACCCTTCACCAGCTCTGTTGCCTTTCTCTGGACTCATTCCAGCACCTCAATGTCCTTCCTGTAGTGAGGAGCCCAAAACTGGACATGGCACTCGAGGTGTGGCCTCACCAGGGCCCCTGTACAGGGGGACAACCACTGCCCTGGTCCTGCTGGCCACACTGTTCCTGATACAGGCCAGGATGTCATGGGCCTTCTTGGCCACCTGGACACACTGCTGGCTCATGTTCAGGTCCCTTTTTATGTCTTGAAGGTCCCTTCCAACCCAAACCCTTCTGTGATTCTGATTCCATTAAGAGCCATGGGAGAAGACTGTGCTGGCCCTCTTGAAGGATGCCCAGGGTGACACTGGGATGCCAAGGGGCTCAAGTCTTTAATATAGAGTTTGCCAGGACTTATCGGCCAAGCCTAGAAACAAATTAAGCCATTTGTAATCCTTTCTAGATATCCCTTAGCCAGTTTTTGTACCTTTCTTGGAAATGAGGCACATGTGCTTTGCCCATGATTTCCACATAATCACCACCTGCATGTGGAATTGTCATTTTTATTCCTGGGGAATCTTTGTGGGATTTACACTAAATGCTATGGAATCCTGCCTTGAAAAAACAAGTCCCTCTTGTGCAATGAGGTATTTGTTCAAGCCTTTCACTCCTTTGCCAAAGGCAGCAGATCCCGACATAAAATGACAGAAGAGATGGGCCCTTAAAACTGAAGAGAAGTTGCTTTACCTATGATGGAATTAAGAGGAAAGTGTCAGTAGAAAATTGCAGAGGGAACTCGTACAGCTGTGGCTACAAGCTGGGAGAATGGTCTTTGCAAGAGTGGTTTGGATAGACGCAATTTGGACAACATTCCTCAAACTGAAGAAAAGTTTGTTACAATAGTTGAGGCCAAAATGAAAAATGTCTCTCCAAGAGTTTTCCCCATGTGGATTAACACAAAAACCCAAATGTTAATGATGTAATGCAGAAAGAATAGCAAGATATGTCACCAAGGGCAAATTGTGCTGAAAAATTTGGTGGCCTTCTACAACAGGGTGACAGTGTTGGTGGATGAGGGAAGAGTAACTGACATCATCTACCTGGACTTGTGCAAAGCATTTGACACTGTCCTGCACAACATCCTTGTCTCTAAACTAGAGAGACATGGATTTGATTGATGGACAACTCAGTGGATAAGGACTAAAGCAATTGGCTGGACGGTTGCACTCAAAGAGTTGTGGTCAACGGCTTGATATTCAAGTGTAGACCACTTGAATGGTCTACATTCAAGTGAAGAGAGGCCTTCCTCGGGGGTCAGTACTGGGACCAGCACTGTCTAACATCTTTAGTAGCAACATGGACAAAGGGAGAATGGAATTAAACTGAAAGAGGGCAGGTTTAGATTAGATATGAGAAAGAAATTCTTTACTGAACTTGACCTCAAGAAAAAGAGGATACAAAATTAATTGGAATAAAAGCATAGCAGGTTTTGTGGCTACTCTCATCACAGATTATATATGAGTAACTTTCCTATAAACATCAGTCTTGTGGAGGCAGGGTAGTTTGGTGGATGGAACTAGGTCTGCAAATAAAAAAAAATTTGATTGCTGTTTTCAATAGCTTACTTCATGGCTGGCCAGGTCCTTGAATTCTTTTCTGTGTGACCAGTTTTCCCATGTGCCTGAGATACTGCTGGCTAGGCATCTTTGTGTTATAGTTAAGATGCTAAATGAAGTGCTAATTATTATCATTCTTTGATGTCATTACTGTGGAATATACAGCCAACTCCTTATTGTTCTGTGTAAAGGGACTGTGCAAGTAGGAGATAAAAAAGGGATTGAGGATACACTGGAGGAAGAGCAATGGAAGGAAGGCAGAGATAATCAGCTCCATTAAGTCAGTGCACAGAGTTGCTTCCTGTGACTCAGTTTCTGAATGGATTATAAGGCTGAATGTGGTTTTGGACCTGTCTGGACCCTCTGCATCCAAATGCATGAAAGCAAATAAACCTTCTGAAAACACAAAGGCATATAATACAGAGACAACAGCAGTTGTTTCCTTCCCAGTCCACCCAGTCTCTGAGGTCTCTGGCACCTAGTCCAGCTGTCTTTGGGACAATTTTTGGGACAAAATTGGGAAAATTTTGGACTGTTTGCTCAAAAGGAGCCACAGTTATCAAAGTAGAATCTTCAGTCCTCTTTTCCTCTCTGAAATACCAAAGTGCTAGCAACAGTTTACGCTTCTCCATGGGGTTCTTGAAAGGGATCACCTTTTGAGGAGTAAAGGAAGGCATTTAATGCTAAATAATTTCTTGCTTGTGCTCCACTGAAATTTGAAATAAAATTTACCTCTGACTTTAGTGAGAGCAAATTTAGGCAGTGAATCTTTGTCTCTTCCACAAAGAGTGACAACTGTGATACTTAGGACTGTACTTTCTGTGGTGTGGACTGACGCCAACTAGGAACAGGACTGTGACAATCAAGTGATTTTGCATATGCCACAAAAAGTCTTCAGATAGTCATAATCTGGATCAAATTAGAACAAAAAATCTACTGGAGAAAGATCACATGGGACATCAGCAATCCCCTGAGCCAGCTGCATTCCCAAATAGTTTAGTTTAATATAAAATACACCTCTCTATCACAAAAGAAAAAGAAATTAAACAATGCTATGTGCCACATATGAAAATGCATATATCTGGGCTCCTCCTCCCCTTTGTGTGCCAGAAATTAACTAATCAAATACTCTCTTGGTACAGCTGTGTCTACCTAAACCAATGGTGCTGTGGAAAAAACAAAGATACTGTGGCACAGGAAGTTTTTTGACACAATTGGAATGGCAGCTGCACAAAAAAATGAGGGTGAATCAATAATTCCAAAATGGAAAAAGTCAAAATTAGTAGGGGGAAGGAAAATATTTTTGTACTTCCAAAAGAGCATTATAAACAAAGGAGAGGAAAAAAAACCGTTCAAATCACAATAAATGGAGCAGACAGGGATTTCACAAGCCTTTGTTGATTGTATGCATGTTTCTCAAATAGAAAAATCTCAAAAAAAAGTGATTTCTTAAGTTTTGCTCCACTTGTAAATAGACAGATTTTGGTATATTCAATACACATGAAATAGTGATATAATTATGTCAATGATCCTGTGTTTGGTACCATCATGAGTTATACTGTTAAAAAAATAGCTATTTCCCAAGTTCCCAGCATGGCTGTATTCAGGCCCAAGAACCAGAAAACACACCAGGTTCTACAGATGAGACATTAACACTGATGTGACACTTTCCCCCCACTTTTTCTGGAGTATTTTTCTGCATTAATTGTTCTCACTCTGTCCTCCAGGTTCAGAGGGACTATCTGAAATAAATACACTGCTTATTTTAGCAACAGGAAACCCTTGGTTAGATAAACTCAGTTTTTAAACAAATAGAACTTCCTATATGTGTCATTCTCACCTAGAAGCTGAACTTAGACAAGTGTGACTTCATCATTCATTGCCATAAACATTCTACATTATCATCTGTTTTCTTAGACAAGACCAAAACCACACCCACAAGAAACACCTCCTTCCAGTTCCTGTTCCTTGCTCAAAGCCCTTTAAATGATGCCAAGAGTCTTCTGTCTTTTGTGGTTTAAAATTTTATGTAGCCTGTCTGCAATAGAAATTAATTCATCAAAGAGAACATTTTTATCCCGTTCCTTTACTGCTCTGTATTTGAGTAGAGGTGCCTTACTCTGAAAAAATATTTTCATTCCTCATCCTTGTTTTTCCAGGAACATGTGGAGTTAAACCATCTTTACAGGCAAATACTACACACAAGCACCTGGTACATTTACTAGTGCTCCCTCTTTGATCATGGATGCATTACAGTAAGTCTGAGCAGAAGATTCATGTGTACCCTTCAGTAATCCAAAGCCATTGAAACGAGGAGTGTTCCTCATACTTTAATAGGGTTTAGGCCAGACCCTTTGTTAGCTTCTGTTTTTCCTAGATGTGACCAGTGATCAACAGACCTCCAGGAAAGCAGAAAGTGGCCAACTGCTGCTGTTCACACAGCTATAATTTTGTTCAAGGAAAAAATTCTCACAGAAAATAATAGAACAACTTCCCCATGGGTGTAAGACAGTGGCTGTAAAGTGGGAAAGTCTCTTTCAAATAGAAGATTGGACTCTTTCCCCACAGGGCACTACATTTGCCCCGTCCTTAGTTAGGTTCAACATACTTGCTCTGGGCAGCTCTTGGCTCACTGTGCTTCTCTCAGAGGAGAGAGCTGCAGAGAGAGGAGAAGGGTCTTGCTCAGGTTGGAGACTGCACCCTGAGAGAGTGATACCTAAAAATTTACAACTGTAGGATTTAACCTAGAGATATCTTTGCCATTTATTTGATTTACCTAGTACAATACAGAGCTCATTCTGACAAAAAAAGATTGGCTCAGGTTATGTATAAAGTATCACTTTGCAATTGGTTTCTGTGACAAGTTTTTAGACTTTTTCTCATAGATTTCTGAACATCTCATTTTAGTCTGTTTTAATTCACACTGAGGTGATGAC